ATACTGGTTCTGCAGCGAAAAGTCTTTTTAGCTTTTCGAATGCGGCTTGGCATTCCATGGACCAGTTCAATGGTTGGCTGGGTTTTGGTTTCGCTTCCCCCTTTGTCTTCAGGAGGTTGGTGATGGGCATTGCTATTTTTGCAAAAGACGGGATGAATTGCCGATAGAAGTTGGCAAACCCAAGAAAACTTTGAAGTTGCTTCCGGGTTCTCGGGGGGGCCCATTCCAATACAGCTCGCACTTTCTCTGGATCCATCTCAATGCCCTCGGGAGAGATACGATATCCCAAGTAGTCGATTTTTTCTTGATGGAACTCACACTTGGACAGTTTGGCGTACAGTTTGGCTGCCCTCAACTTGTGCAACACCGAGCGTACGAGTTTCACATGTTCGTGTTTATTCTCCATGTAGATGAGAATATCATCAAGGTAGACCAGAACCCCCTTGTATAGATGTTCGTGAAGCACTTGATTTATCATTTGCATGAAAACAGCGGGTGCCCCCTGTAGGCCGAAAGGAAGAACGTTGAACTGGAAGCAACCCATCGGGCAGTTGAACGCAGTCTTCCACTCATCGCCTTTCTTAATTCGGATCCTGTAGTATGCCTCCCTCAAGTCCAACTTTGTGAAAATCTTCCCCTTCGCCAGGTGGGCTATCATGTCCTTCATCAGGGGGAGGGGGTACATATTGTCCACCGACACGGCGTTTAAGTTTCTATAGTCCACTACCAAACGTTTTGAGCCATCTTCTCGCGGAACATTACAGGGGCCGCCACTCGAGGTCTGGCAGGCGTGATGAAACCACGTTTCAGGTTTTCGTCGATGAACGCTCTCAGTTCTTCCAACTCCCCCGGTGTCATCGGATACAGCTTCAGTTTCGGGAGCGTTACCCCTGGTAGAAATTCGATGCTGCAATCGGTTGATCGATGGGGAGGGAGCTCGTCAGAAGCTTTTTCACTAAACACTTATCTTAAGTCCCAGTATTCCTTCGGGATTTTCTCCTCCCCATCCACTCGTTCGACACCTGCGGAAGCTGCCTCGGCCGGAACTTGGGGCTTCGGATGGGGCTTCTCCTCCCCCTCCCGAGAGTGGGGCTCCTCCCCTTCCGGTGGGCGATCGGTGCGGATGCATATCCACCCTTCCCTCCAGTTTATGTGGGGGTTCCATTTCCGAAGCCAAGGTAGTCCCAATATTAAAGGCTGTTCTATCCCAGGGGCCACAATAAAGCACAAAATCTCGCGGTGAGTTCCCATGGTCATTTCTAAGGGTTCCGTTATAAAGCTTGCCGGGCTACCTCCCACCACAGATCCGTCTAATTGACAGAAAGCTATGGGCGTTTTCAAAGTTCTCAGTCCGATGCCCATGGTTTTAACTACTTTCATGTTAATTACACACCTCGTGCACCCCGAGTCCAACAAGGCCAACATCTCTCCCTCGGTCCCCGATGTAGGGTCCCTTAACTTTATTGGGATGGTCATGGGCCCCTGGGTAGGACTTACCGAGGCGTCATCCTCCGAATCGGTCTCGCCGAGTAAGGTTGGAGGTCCCAGCTCCTCCCCCGCCGGAAGGGCGACCTCTACAACCTCCCTCGCCTTCAGTCCGGTCTCGCGGGGCTTGGTTGGGGGTTTACCGGGCTTCGTCCCTGGACCCTGCGTCTTTGGTGGGACCAACTTGACTCGGCACTCCGCCATCCGGTGGCCCTCTTTCCCGCAACGGAAACAGGCTGTGGTCTTGGCTCTTGCTGCCATCCCTCCTCTTTGGGGAGTGGAGGCCTCTTGGGGGCGTGGGGGGTTTAGATTTCTCCAGCCAGGGCCCCTTCTGCGTCTGTTTCGAGCCAGATCAATATCCACCTCTTCCGCCAGCAAGTACCACGACTGCAAATCACGTGGATCCTTCCGGGAGATGCACATGTGGTATACATCTTCATTTAAGCCGTCTTTGTAGGTTTCCACCAGGGCCTCTTGGGGCCAGCCTCGGAGACAGGAGACCAACTGCCTGAACTCCTGGGTGTAGTCTGCCACCGATCTCCCCGCTTGGGTCAAGGTTTTCATTTTGATTCTAGCCCTTCTCTCTGCCAGGGGGTCTTCAAATCTTCTCCTCAATGCAGTCATGAAAACATCGAGGTTTCGCAGTTGGGGGGAGTTATCATTGAACAAAGTCACCACCCAGTCTGCTGCCATCCCTTCCAGGGTCCTGGTGACACATCTCACTTTGGCTGCTTCAGAAATGAAACCTTTCAAATTCTGCCATGTAGCTTCCCACTTGCACCAGGAAAAACCCCAAGTCTCTGGGATTTCCTCCAAATTTCACATCTAAGGGAGGCAGGGGGCGTCTTCCAGGAAGCACACCTATTGCTGGGGCTCCCCAGGCGGCCGCGGGTGGCTGCACCGGCGTAGGTTGGGCTAGGGGGGTGGGGTTGGCTTGACTTCTCCGGGCTGACTTCGCTCCCTCTTCCCCCTCATACCTTTGAGCCGTGCCGGGCTTTTCAGAAGCATCCATAAGGAATCTGCCGCCTTGATCCAGCCTGCATTCCATCTCCTCCCCCTCCTGCCACAGCCGTTCCTTCGCACCTCTTCGTCTTACAGTGATTCTGGGAGGAGGGGGGTCGTCCCGATCTCTCCAACCAACCCCCAACGACCATCTGGGCATCTCAGCTGGGGTTTCTTCCAGAGTCAGGTCGGCCAGTAAATCAGCAGCCGGCATCTCTGGCAGCAACAACGGCTGCCCCCCCACAGCTCCCTGGTCCTCTTCATCGCTGGCTGGAGACGACATGAGATGAAGCCCCCTCGGAAGAAAAGTTGCTGTTTTCTCCGGGTGGGTTGATGTATTTGGAGTTTCGGAATAATGTCAGACTATGCTCCTTCTAAATCCCAAGAAAGAAATACTCAGACTCCATGGTGTAGAGCAGAATTTATCTTTTACTGGAAAATGAAATGGTAGCAACAGAATCAGTTCCGAAACTAAAATATTGGTGGGTAAAATGCATATACAAAGGGATAGAATTGCTCCCCACCTCCAGAGATCAAATGATTCTTCCAATTAAAACTTCTGAATAGGATCATGTGGTCATCTCTAGGTGATGATGAGGCTACTGTCAGTGACCTTGACATATTTTGATAAAAGTTCGCAGTTGCGCATAAAAAAGGACAGAGGTTAGTGAGAAATGGAAAGTTACAACAAAGAATCCCCCCTCCCTTTCCTTACCCAGCAAAGGAATGCAAAACACCTCCTGCCTTCTTCCCTTCGAAGATTCCCCCCTCCCACCGTTTCATGACAGCCGAAAGAGAAATAAAAGCATAGCAACAAATGAGCCATAATTAGGAGCGGAGATATCTTGATAGGTAGGGATGGATATCTCTTGAGGCTCTCACCCCTTCTCTCTTCCTTTGCAAGACTTATGTCCTTGTCAAGGGGGGCAGCATGTCAGGATCTCCATCGTCAGCCTGGCGCCTTGCTGGGTTCCTGCCATCAAAAGGGAAAGGAGGAAGGGGGCATGGGAGGCAATCCACACCTGTGTATCTAATGGTGGTAAATGGGGAGGTAGTGGTGGAGAATGGAAGGGAGAAATGTCACTTTTTTCAATAATGTAACTGAAAGGTCACTAAATGAATGGTTGTAAGTCGACTACATACATAGGATTAAAAAGCATTTGGAAGAGTGTGGTGTTTGTAGTTCAATCTACAAGTGTTCATTGGGCAGAGCAATTGAACAAAATTGAACTGTGAATGTAGGACAAACAGAAAAACAACTATCACTTGCCCTCTTTGCCCATAAAGCTCTCCAAAATGAATTCAATCGGACCTCAGATCTTTATGAAAGCCACAACAATGTTCTGCCCTCTTTGGAAACGTCGCACGTGACGAGCTCTTGCGAATCCTTTGATGCAGAAGGAAAGAATAGCCGAAGAGTCGCTGGCTCTTTACAGGACTCCAAATTCAGGGTTAATTAATCACAAGTTCTTGGGCTTCTCGTGAGCCACAACAGGTGGCCACAGTTTAACCTGGGGAGATGCTCACCCAGCAAATTGTCACATCCAGTTTTTAATGCCAGTCCTGCTCTAGTACTGAGTGGGAACAGCAGCCATGCACAAGAGTTGCCCCTCAGCTGGAGCTGGGTGAGAGCCAGCTCTTTCTCAATGAGGGCTTGTAGATTCGGTAGGCTTTGGGAATCTTGGGTGATGCACATGCCGGTCAACCCTCCTTTGGCAAAGTTGAGACTTTCTCCCAGTAAATATCCCCGCTCCCCCCGATTGTATTGAAAGGCGCTTTCGCTGCGGTCCCGCTGGGTAATAATTGCGGGAGCTCCGGAGGGCTGAGTGGTGGCCGGGCGCCCTTCTCTGCCCCGGGCGGCGGGGGACCGAATGGCCTCCGGGCCTTTCCAGGAAAGCCCTGCACGAGACCGGGCGTTTGGGGGCATTTTTCAGTTGCAGCCGGAAAAGAGGCGGTTCCAACCACGCGGCTCCTCGAGCATCGCTCCAGCCGTTTTTGGCAGAGATTTGCCCCGACCCGTTATTCGGCCGCCGTCCGCCTCCTGAAGCTCGGCCCGGCCACTCGGTCAGAGGCCACGGGAGCCAGGCCGCTTCCCCCGCCAGCTCGTCCCACCCACGGCCGGGCATCAGCCTCGCATCAGGCCGGTGGGCGCAGCAAAGCCCGGGCAGGGGAGGCGAAAACGGCGGGCGGCCCGGACTCCAGCGGGCGTGGGGAGCCACCGGCCCGACGGGGACCCGGCGGATGTGGGCAGGGCGCCGGCGGGCGTCCCGGGGGCGGCGGGGAGGGCAGCGCCAGCCGGACGGGCGCCAGGCCGGGCGGGGCAGCGGCGCGGGGCGCCCGGCGGGACCGAGGAGGGGCGCGCGCGGCCAGGCGGCGAGCGGCGTGCGCGCTTGGCTCCTGCCGCGCTCGCTGCGTTGCCCCTTTAATTGTGTCCCCGGCCCTCGGGCGCCTCTCTCCGCCGCCCACGTCAGCAGCCACCTTTGTCTCTCTCCGGCCGGGCTGCGGGGCGGCGGAGCCCGCGACGCTCCGCGCCGTCACCCCCGCCTCTCCCTCCTTCCATCCGCCCCGCCGCCCGCCCGCCTCCGGAGCCGCAGCCAGCCCTGCCCTGCCTTCGCCGAGCGGTAAGTCTGGCAGCAGCCCGGGCGAGCAGGGCGTCGGGTGGGCTGAGCGCGCTCCGCGGCCTCTGCCTGCCTCGCCCGCCCGGAAGGGTGCCCGCCCGCGCCTGCCCGGCGCCCCCATCGCCCGGCACACAGGCGGTCCCGGGGGGCGGGCGGGCGGGCGGGCGGGCGCCATTTGCTGCTGTTGCCGCCCCGGGCGCGGCGCTCGCTCCTCGCAACAAAGGGCGGCGAGGCCGGTGCTGCCGGGCGCGGCGCTGCGAGACGGGCGCCGGGGGCGCTTGCGAACCGGGCACCGAGCGGCGGGGGGAGGGCGGGGCCTGCCGCATCGCCACCAGCGCCGGGCGGCCCAAGATCCGGCGGGCGAGAGCGAGGGAGCGGGGTCCCCCCCCCCCGTGAACCTCCCGGGGCTCCCGCTCCGGCGCCGCTGCCTTGGCGGGCTCCCGACGGCCGAGCAGCCAATTCGGAAGTGCGGGCAAATACTGACGGCGCCCTCTGCCAATGCGCCGCCGCGCTCCCTCTCCGGCCGGGCTGGCCCGTCGCTGCCCCAGCTGCCCGCTCGCTGCGGCGGCGGGCGGTTAGGCGTCCGCAGGCGGCGCGGCTTCCTTCGGCCCCGGGCGGGCGCGGCGCGGGAGCTTCCTCAGCGGCCGCGCTGGGCCGTCCTCGGAGCTCACCTGAAGGGCGGGGACCCTCTGGCCGCCCCAGCTCTTCGCGCTGCCCTTCACGGCGCCGAGCAAATGGCGCTTTGCGCGCCGCGCCCCTCTGCCCGCGAAGGCGGTTTGGCCCCCGCCGGACGAGCCGGCGTCTGAGTAGCGCCTTCCCGGGGAGCCGCCAGCGGGGCCCCTCCGCCTGCGAGGAACCAGCAGAGGGGCGGGAAGGGCCCCCTCCCCCCGCCGCAGCCTTTAAGGCGCAGGCCGGAGATGCTGCCCGAGCCGCGTCAGCGAGGGACGCCCAGCCTCCGGGGACCTAAGCGGGATAGCCGCGGTCCTCATCGCCGGAGGCTTCTGCCGCCCTGAGGAAACCAGCCGGGTTCCGCGGAGAGATTCGCCCTGCGCGAGAGCCGCCTGAGCAGCTGTTTCGAATGGCCAGAAGGCCCGGAGGGAAAGGCTGGTTTGGGGAGCCTGGTACGGGGTCCCGACGCCTTTGGCAGCCTTCCGGTCCTCGTAAAAGGCCTGAGGAAGTTGGAAAGGAGGGAAAATACCAGCAGCCAAAACCACAGTAATGGAGAACAACACACCCACCCCGCCTAGTGTGCCAGTTTGGAATGAGTTTGTGTAAATGATCCCTCAATGTGCCTGGCTTTGTGACCAAGAGTGAAGCCTTGCCGCCTGCTTGGTGGGGTTTTGCATTTTCCACAGACCTTCGTCCTGTAACCTGTTTATATTTCTTCATAAGATTATCAAGTGCCTCCATTCTGAAAGCCTTCCTTATAAAGTCCAGTTTGGACAACAGTGGCTGAGATGCAGCAGACAGCTGGGGAAGAAGATGTCATGTGGGTATCCAAGCTTTGGGGGTTAGTTTGTTGTGTGAGGATGGCCGTTCACTAAACGGGCTGATTGCAAAACAAAAACAGGTCTGCACGGGAACATTTTTGCCGAGGAATAAACCGGACTGGACAGGATTAGAATAGAGTAACCTACACTAGGCTAAAACAGGAGAGATTTCCCAAAGTAGCCACAGCTGGCCCAGTATGAGGTTATGAGGAGTGTGAGGCAGATTGAGGATTATTTTCCTCCTACAATTGCAAACTTCCTGATAGTTACATCAGCTGGCTTAACTGCACCTGTGTGGCTGAAAGTGACCAATTCTTTAAAAGTGTGGCATGGATTTTGGGGGCCGCATAATGTTAATTCCTGCTGCAGATGTTTAGAGCAGAGGTCCCCAAACTTGGCCACTTTAAGACTTGTGGACTTCAACTCCCAGAATTCTCCCGCCAGCTGTGCCAAGTTTGGGGACCCCTGGTTTAGAGCAGCTGACCCAGAGATTCTGCTGAGGATGAAGCTTTGAGGGACTGCTTGTACCAAATTCTGCCTCATTTGGCAGAGTAGCAAAAAATACTGGGGTTCCTGTGTAAACCTCACTAGTTAAAGGGGACACAGAAATTGGTTTTCTGTTGTAGAGCTGCTGCTTGAGTGGCTGAAAAGTATATTGTGCTGTTTTCCATAAGGCTCTGTAAGTAGCCTGATACAATTTTGGGTTTCTTAAAAACATCCTGAGAATTTTAGGAAGTTTCAACTAGGCATTTGACTTGTATCCAATCTTTTTTTAAATACTGTAATTAGTCCAATATCCAGTTGCTCCAGGGATCCCAACAGGTCTGTTTATAAATTAATTGAAGTAGTTGAAGTAGTAGAGAAAACCAAGATGATAAGATAGTTCAGAATTAGCCAGAAATAAGCAAATATGGTTGAGTACGATTTATGAGCACAGTTGGGACAAGAATTTCCATTGCTAAGCAAGGCAGTCGGTAAGTGAGTCACACCTAATTTTGCCACCTTTTTTAAAACCACAGTTAAGTGAACCATGTGGTCCTTAAATGAAGGTGGCTTCTATTTGCTTCTGGTGATCACTAGAACACTGTAACTGCCATAAATATATGACAGTTGCCATGTGCCCAAATTTTGATCTCATGACTCTGGGAATGCTGTGAGGTTGTAGGGACCAGTTGTCATTTTTAGGAAGATAGAATCCTAGGGCTGGAAGGGACCCCTGCCCACCTTACCACACGCTGGACTAATGGCTGTCCATTCTTGAAGACCTCCATTGATGGAGCACCCACAGCTCTTGAATGCAAGATGCTTTATTGATTCATTCTTCTTGCTGTCAAGAAACTCCTCCTTAGTTCCAGATTAGATCTTTTTTTTAATGAGCTTCTTGTCCTGCTTTGGAGAATAAGAACTCATTCTGCCCTGTGATTGCCCTTCAAGAACTGAAAGGCAGCTATTGGGTCTCCCCTGAGCCTTCTCCTCTTTAAACTAAAACATACCTAGTCATGCCCTCAATCGTTCATCACACGGTTTAGTCTCCAGGCCCCTTATCATCTTTGTTGTTGTTATTCTTCGCACTCTTTCTAGAGTTTCACCATCTTTTTGTATCTTGGCGACCAGCACTGGATGCCATATTCCAAGTATGGCCCCAGTACTGCAGTGTAGGACGGTATTATCAGTTTGTGTGGTTTTGATGCTGTCCTTCTGTTGATGCAGCCTGGGGTTGCATTGGCTTTTTTAGCAGCTGCAGCACACGGCTGGCTCATATTTAAGTGAGTGTCCTCTAGGACTACCAAAATCCCTTTCAGTTACTGCTGTTGAGCCAAGTACTGTCTATTCTATTCTGTGTATTTGGTTTTTCTACCTGAGTACAGGACCTTACTTTTGAATTAGGTTGGATAGGGTTCAAGATTTTTCTGGATCTTAAGCCAATCTTCTATTGTGTTGGCTATTCCCCCCAATTTGTTATTGGCTGCAAATTTCTATCTCCTCATATTATCCCCTCATACTGGATGATACTTTTTCAATATCTCTGTAACTTCAAATTAAATGAAGGGTTTATTGTCAAAACTCAGCAATAAAATGGCCAAACTTTCTTCATAGGCTTCCCGATCAGGCAGCTTTTTGAACCCCTCTCTCTACCATTAACCAATTCTGGGGGAAAAAGTGTTCCTGTGCAGTTGCAGTAAATTGATGAGAAGTAAATTTGGAGCCCTTTTAAAGCTCATTTTCTGATGAAATGACCACACTTTTCTTTTAAGGTAAAACTTCTAGGGATAGGAGATCTGTGGGCACCAAGAACAACTTAGCTTATATGCCACCTGCACTCCAATAAAATGCAGCGTGTTTAGCTGTATTTACACAACACTAGGCGTTTCAGGAATTAGCCAATTGTGTAAACCCAGAAACCTTAACAACTCAGAGTCAGAAGGAGGATAATAGAATCATAGAATTGGAAGGGACCTAAGATATCATCAAATCAATACCCCTGCATGCTACACTCTACCCTCCCCAAAACATGTAACCCCAAATATCTTGTGTCAATTGTTAATCAAAACTATTTTGTACAAATCCCAAAACCTGGTCACTTTGTAGTAATGGCTTTGCACTAACTAGCTGCAGAGAAGGAAGAAAGTGTAGAGAGGCTGGAAAGAGAAGGCTTCCACTGCAGCAGTATTTTTCAACCTTAAAATCTGTCGATTTCATCTCACAGAATTCCCCAGCTAGCATGACTGCCTGGGGAATTCTGGGAGTAGAAGTCCACCTTTCTTCAAGTTGCCAAAGTTGAGAGACACTGCAGTATAGAACCAACTGCTGTACTTTGGTAGCTACTGAAAACACCTTCAAACATTGGGAACTCTTAAGCCTTCCACCTTGCTGCTTTCCAGCCAGGGGGGGAAAGCAGAAATAATGATTGACACTTCGTGAGGGCTGGTGTGATGCTAGGCAGGAAGGAAGAAACAGCTGGCGACTGTATTCAGCCCTGCATTTTGCCAGATCCAGCGGTCAGGCAAGGAGCAATGCCAGGGAAGCTACTGCGATGGATTAATGCTCACGAGTAGAGCAGGGGAAGAGCGGGGGATGCCAGGGCGAGGGGTGGCCTTGATTGCCTGAAACCTGAAGAATTGTTTCTAATAGTGGCTGTGTTTCTCAAACTTGACAGCTTTAAGTTCGGAGGACTTGTGCTCCCAGACTCCCCCAGTCAGCATTAAAAGGTCTAATCCCAGAACAGGCTTATAATTATAATCATCTCCCGCAGTGGAGGATGCAGAATGAATCCTGGGAGCCTGGCAAGGGAATTCTGGGAGATGAAGTCCACCCACCTTCAGACAGCCAAGGTAGAGGGTGTAGTATTGGGCTCTCACAATTTCATCATTTAAATCAGGGGTGTCCAACCTTGGCAACTTTAAGACT